GAAAACCTGAAAACAACAACAACAACAACAGGAAATGTTATTTAAAAATTACATTCACAAAAGTTCTTTCAAATTCTTAGGATTATAGAAAAAAAAAAAAATGTGGAGCCTCCCAGTTCTTTTAAAAACTTAACCAAGCCCTGGCCAGGTAGCTCCATTGGTTCGAGCACTGTCCCAAAACACGCCAGGGTTGGAGATTCGAGCCCCAAATACGAGAATGAACCGATGAATGGAGCACATCGCTGTCCCTCTCCTCTCTCCCTTTCCTCTCTCCCTCTCTCTCTAAAAGATCAATTAAAAAAAAAAAGTTAACCAAACCCGGATTCCAAGTCTGGGAGGATGGCATGCCCACGAGCCCGGAGCAACAGATGCACTCCGAGGTCACTTATAAATAGCCACAGACGTCCTATGAAAAACGCTAGCAAATAAATGTAAGCTGGCCGGACAGGACGCGCTAAAGCAGGTTTATTTCAGGAAAGCTTTAAACCTGTTATTGTCGAATCACATTTCACCAAGTCAAAGCAAACACACACGGTCATTTCAACGTAGGCCGAGAAGGCATTCGGTAAAATTCTGCATTTCTGATGGAAAAGAAACAGCCTTGTGAATCACAAAGCTCTTAATGTGACAAAAATCCCTCAACCCGCAAAAATCCCTCAAACTGATTGCAAACGTCGTGTTTACTCCTGGAGCCCAAAGGCATCTCCATGACAGTCAGGAATCCACCTATTTAATTTTTAGGTGGCTGGGTCTGCCTCCCACCTCATGGTTTCCGACTGTGGTATCAGGGCTCCCGCCCGGGGCTCCCAGAATAGTCACACGGAGCCTTTCCAAATCAGGGTGGCTGTCTGCTCACCAGCCACTTCCCCTGGTGACAGAAAGCCACACGTGGCCTGGCCTGCGTGGGCTCGGAGTGAGGGAGCCAGGCCACCCACCTCCACAAAGGGCCTCTGACCAGGCGAGTGGCCCTCAGGACAGATAACTCAGCCGGGTGGTGGCGGATTCCCACACAGCCACGCCTGCGAGAGCTGTCAGGCTGCACAGCACAGGGCGGCTTTTGTTTTTGACGCCTCAGGGACTGTAAAAGGAAGTCTGGTTAACTGTTTGATTAGAAAACACTTCAGTCCAGGACACGGCCCCAGGCCTGGGGCCTGCCGGGCTGCGGTGCACGGGGACCTCACCCCTCACCCCTCACCCGACGGGCAGCGGGGAGTGTGTGGGTGGATCCTGCACCGCCGAGCCCTCCCCGCACCCAGGTCAGAGAGATCCATCCAGTGGGAAGGTCCAAAGGGACCGCAAAGCAGCCGAGCGCATCTCTGCGGGCCCAGGGTTGACCACAGAGCACCGGGACAGGAATACAGACTTTTTAAGATGAGTGGCTCCAAGGTTCCTACACAGTTTATCTCCTTAGGTTATAGAACAGGAGCTTCTGACATCTTGGCCAAAAAAACCACACCAAAAAACAAACCCGAGACCCTTTAGTCCGAGGGCCGACTCTCTAACCACTGAGCCACACCGGCCAGGTCTCAGCACAACTTTTCATGGCATTCGGCAAAGTGGTTTTTCAGTTCTTTTGGAAAATGGGCCTCAGAACTGGCGGCTCCTTGGCTGGTCTGGAGGGCCCTTGGTGGCCCAGCTCGGGGTCAGCAGGGCACAGGGGGGTCCCCAGGGAGCAGGCCGTGGAAACCTGGGCCCCAGAACCCAGGGCTGTGTGACCAGAGCGGCCGGGAGCCCAGGAGGCCGCTGCACTAAGTCCGGCAGCTTCGGGGCAGAGAGGAGGAGGGGCACCGGGAGGGTGAGAAGGTGACGTGGGTTCTTTGGGGGGCTCACTGAACTCTGATGACTGGATGCCTCTGACATGGTCCCCGCCCGAGGTGACACCTCGGAGCTGGCAGCTAGGTGGAAAGGGGAGGAGCGGCCGGCCTCCGATCTCTAAATCCCCCAGCACCTCCTGTCTTGGGGAGAAAACCCCACATGCGGTCACTTTAAAACCGACCATCTAGCTGGGTTCCCCATTTCTGAGATTCTTCCCTTTCCTTGTTCCGCTGTTTCTCCCCCCGACACCCACAGGAAGTTCTCTGGAAATGAGGGTTCCCAATGACACACTTCTCCTTGTTCTCCAAGGCTCCCCAAATTAGATTGTGTTTCCAGTTAATGTATTCAATTATGTTAAATTTCCATTAGGGAACCCGGGCTGCAGAGAACACACTCACCCCCGGGACATGGGGACTGGCCCGGCGCACGGAGCGGAGCGGACGCCCCTGATCCCACGCCCTGCAGGGACCTGGGCAGCGACCTGGGGCAGGGACCCGGGGCAGCGACGGGCAGACACCCCGAGCTTTCTCAGGCCGGAAAGGAAGCTGATCGTTGATAGTGTGGGTGGCGCCCCACGGGTCAGTCGAAAGGCCCTGAGACCGAGCTAAGAAATTCTGCCTCAAGGCTGCAGCACCCGCACTGGACTTGACAGACCCCACGACCGCGGAAGACGACGCCCTGAGACAAATACTGTTATAGACGATGTTTCCTACAGCGGGTTTAAAGGGGATTCCATTCCCACTGTGCGCACCTGCGTGGTTTCCCTGGTCACACCTACATCCCTGGTATGGTAACAGGTGTGTTTACATCTACATCTGTGTCTCTGTCTCCATCTCCATCTACTGTCTGTATGTCTGCACCTGTATCTGTGTCTATACCTACGCATCTCTCCCTCTATTATCTATCCATCTACCTGTCTATCCATCTGTCTTTCTGTCTATCTATCCATCTTGGCTTCTGAACACCATTCTTTAACAAAAGGAACCAGGGCTCCTTGGAGAAATGGCTGATTCCAGGGCCGGGGCAGAAACTGTAAGAGATGAGCCTGGAACATCTCAGTGACACCAGAAAGTGAGGAACCTCCCCTACAAGGACGGGGCAGGTCAAACGGACACAAAAGCCAGTTGGAAGGTGTCTGACAGCCGAAGCTGAGATAATTTAAGGACCCTTGTGACGACAGTCCAGATAATCCAGGACCACCTCCCACCTCAAGGTCAGCTGGGGGGCAACCTTAGTTACCCTCATGTGCTTCCCCTTGGCCATGTAACGTAACACCTGTCATTTAATGTAACATGCCATGTAATGTAACACCTGTCATGCAGTGTAACATGCCATGTAATGTAACACATGTCATGCAGTGTAACATGTCATATAATGTAACATGTCATGTGATGTAACGTCCTATAATGTAACGTGCCATGCGATGTAACATACGCCATGTAGTATATAATGATGCTGTTAGAATGAGGGCTTTTGTCCCCTGCTCCCTCAATTATCTTGATTTTATTTTTTTTAAACTATTTTTTAAAATGTTTTTATTGATTTTAGAGAGAAAGGAAGAGGGGGAGAGAGAGAAACATCAATCGGCTGCCTCCCGTATGTACCCTGACCAGGGACCCAACCCCACACCTGGGCATGTGCCCTGACCGGGAATGGAATCGGTGACCTTTCGGAGCACGATGCTCACAGCTGAGCCACACCGGCCAGGGCTTGATTTTCTTTTGAAATAAAAGGGATTTGCCAGCCCTCCCCGCACCCGGTGCTCCTGTTACGGCTGCATCGCCAGGGGCTCCAAGCGCCAACAGCCCTCCTGGGCCTGACAGGTAATGATCCCTGTTTGCCCCGGGCCGTCGGGAACCGGCTGTGGTGGCCTCAGTTTTGAGCGACATCACCACCATTTCTGTTTGGGGGGAACATCACTATTGTTACCCCGTCTTCGGCTAGGCAACCAGCCTGCCGTCAGCTGCACAGGCCCACGACCGCGCAGGCGGAGGCGGGCAGAGCGCGCCTCCAGGACCCCGGGCCTCCTCCCTGGACACGCGACAGACAACCTTTGGCTCAGGCCCAGTCACTCGGCCGAGGCGCAGGCCGAGCTCCCTGCAGAACAGGCTGTTCTGATTTTTAGCAACTGCCCTTGCCCCTGGTTTCTTACCCATGATTTACTTTTCAGTTTAGAAAAGGAGACTTTGAAGGACAAGAGTGAGGGGACCCTGCCGTCCCCAGGGCTCCCACTGGCCTCTTTTTTTCTAACCCTCACCTGAGGATACTTTTTCCAGTGCTTTTCAGAGACAGTGGAAGGGGGAGAGAGAGAAACATTGAGGTGAGAGACACATCGACCGGCTGCCTCCCGCCTGCAGCCTCACTTGGGCCGGGGACCGAGCCTGCAACCGAGGTACATGCCCTTGGTCGGAATCAAACCCGGGACCCCTCAGTCCTCGGGCTGACGCTCTAACCACTGAGCCACACGGGCCAGGGCTCCCGCTGGCCTCTTCACACCAAGTTCTGCTTGGGCTCCAGTGGGCTGAGGTCCTGGCCCAGGAGCAGAGAAGCCCTGACCCCTGGAGGGAGGGGGAGGCAGTGGATGAGCCGGTGGGGGAGGAAGAGGGGCATTTTGGCAGAAGGACTGAGTCATGAGGGGAAGGGCTCTGTGCCCAAGGTCCTCCGTGGGGTGCCATGGCCACCCCTCCAGTGACAGCCTTCCCGTGACTCCAGGGGGCTCCTGGCCCTGACCAGTGCGGAAGGACAGCCTAGGCCTGACCACGGGGACCAGGGGAACCAGCTTGGACATCCCTGCACACGGGCGCCTGGCAGAGGCTAGGCCACTCAGGCCCCTGGGCACTCGGCTCGCTCTCTGTGGTCCCCAGATGCCAGCACTTGGATGGGCCACAGGCATCTCAGGCTGGACACGGCCCTAATGGGACCCCTGTCACCTGCTGCCTTGGGGACCCCTGCAGGAGACTCCAGGTCATCATGGACAGGAATGCCTCCTCCCCCTCACCTTCTGCACTCACCTGTCGCCGGCCCCTCCATCTCTCTCCATCTGTCCCCCACCCGTGGACACATCCTGTCACCATGGACTGTGATGAAGAACCCCTCACGTGGACTCGTGGAACCCTCTCCCCAGGCCCTGGGGCCCTGAGGTCCCCTGGCCACGTCCCTCCCGCCAGGGGACACACGGGACTCACTCGACGGTCTTGCCCCAGTCGCACCAGAGCGGCTTCCCGATGGCTTCCATGTCCACCTTGAACGGGGCGAGGCAGAACTCCTGCAAGATGGCGTCGTGGTCGACATCCTGGCAGGCGGTGGCCGCGAAGAGGTGATGCACTGCAAGCACAGCACGCGGGCCGTCACCCCCTGGCGGCCGGGCCTTTCCATCCGGCGCACACGGACCCCGAGGGCTCCCGTCCCTGGGGGGCTGCCCTGCGGTCTGACGGGTCCCGGGGAGGACCGCATGTCCCTTCCCCGGTGGTGACCGCCACTTTCCCCTGGTGGGATGCATGGTGGCACCGGGCGCAGGGTCCAACACTCAGGCCCTATGTTACGCTCACCCAGCCCTGATGTGTCCCCAACGCCTCCACTTCACAGACGTGGAAACTGAGGCAGCGAGAACGGTCGCTGGGCCGGACCCAGGCCCCACACCGCGATGCTCCAGGCCCCGCCCGGGAGCGAGGAGGAGGAATCGCCTGTCCTGGGGGACGCAGCAAGACAGGGTCCTGCCCCAGGCTCGTGGGGACCTGGCGGCACCACCCAGCCCAGACAGGCTCACCGCCCCCGGGAGCCTCCGGCTCGTGCCCCTTGTCTGATATTTAACAGCTAGAAATAAACAGGCAGTTGCGACATGGCGGGTCCTCTCCTCCCGCCCTGACAAGCGCGGGATCAGGAACAAAACCCCGCCGGGCAGGCGGCACACTGACCCTTCGATGCGGTTCGAAAGGCACTGGAGGCGGCGGGGGCGGAGGAGGGCCAGCGAG